ACCCTTCAAATTTGCTAGCATTTTAATGAGCCCTACAGACACAATATTACCTGCCCAATAATATCTGTATTGTTAAACCCTTTGCCAGGTTCAATAAAAAACAAAACAAAACAAAAAAAATATTAAAAAAAATAAATCCAGCCACTCCCATAGTTTGAATAGCTGTTTTTTTTTTTTTTTTTTTTTTTTTTTTTTTTTTTTTTTCCCTAGAAATAGAAGATTAAGTATTTGAACTGGGATGTCTAAATGAGAAGCAACATTTTCCCTATAGTGAGGTAAAATCATCTATTCCCAGGCTGAAGATATTGTTTACAGTGAAGATTTTCTCCCACAACCACAGAAAGCTATATTCCTGCCAAAATGCCCCAAAGAACATAAATAATAAATGTTGTTGTGCGGAAGATTTGAAAAAAAAAAAAAGGGAAAAGGAAAGGAAAAGGGAGAGGGAAAGGGAAAGGAAATGGAAAATGGAAAGGAAAAAAGAAAAAGAACAAGAGAAAGAAAAAAAAAAAGATAAAGGAAAAGAGAGAAAAATGGAAAAGGAAAAGAAAAAGGAAAAGAAAAAGAGAAAGAAAAAAAAAAGGAAAGAAGAAGAAGAAGAAGGAGAAGAAGAGGAAGGAAAGAAAAAGATCTGTGTGTTGTAACATTTTTAAAAATAGTTTGTTATAAGTACTGTATTCATTTAAGAGCTGCTGATCACAATGTTGATTTATTTACTCCCCAAGTTTATTTATTTGCTCACAAGGTTGTTTTATGTAACCCCTCTCCCACTGTTTGTCACATCTGATGGCTGGCTTAGGGTTGATTTTGGTTTACTCAGTTTGCTACATACATAACCATTGCTTATGTTACACCAAGTGGGAGCTTCATCTAGTATTGCTCTCATCTTCATACTTCAGAAGCTAATCTCTGGAGGACACCTTCCCCTTCTTTCCCTTCCCTTTCACCTTCCCCTTCCCTTTTCCCTTCCCTTTCTCTTCCAGACCAGTTACAATAACACCTGAAAATTCTGAAAATCCTTGGGATGCTCAAACTGGTGGATTCCTGTTGGTCTGTCTCCTGAATGTGTTTCAGGTTAAACTATTAAGGAATGCCACACAGAGATTTGCCCCTGGCATGATAGTTACGAGTGGCAGCATATGTAGGATAGTATGGTCAAGTGCCTAGGACAGTGGGCACCTCAAGTATTTTGGATCTACTCTCTCTCTCTCTTTTTCTTTCCCTTTTCTCTCATGTTAAAATGTCATTATCTTAATCCACAAGTTCTACTATATTTTTTTCCCCAATTACCTCCTCCATCCCACTAATGGTGCTCCCCCCAACCCACTGCGTGGTGCTGAGCTGCCTGCCGGATTAAGCCAGAGAGGCATTGCTCCGTCAGCAGTGCTGGCAGAACAAGTGGGAAGAAGATCTGGGTGCATGGCCCCGTGTTGCCCCTCCACTGATGGTCCATGAACACAACTCTGTGAATATGAACAAGCACCTGCTCATTTAAATAAAAGGGAGAAGATTTGTTATGTTAGACCACTTTATGAACTATGCGGTATTTAACCTTTGTAAAGGTTACATGGAAGGTAAAAGTGGCTGCACTCTGATACATTAAATGCGAATCATGAGTAGCTTTTCTCAAACTTTGTTTTGTACTAGTCTGGCAGTGAGTAAATATCTATTTTCAGTTTGCAATACGAGGTGCTGCTGGAATGAAATTTAGCTGGAATGATATGCACAACATCATTCTGGTCTGCTAGATCCACGATACAATTTTTACATGTTATTTCTTTCCTACTTTTGGATGCACGGGTGAATGACATGCAGTAAATATTAAGTCTATCCTGTCCAGACACAGATTTGGAAGCAGGCTGAGAAGGACTATACCTCCTCTTTTCCTCCTCTGTTATTACTACTGCTTGTGACTGCATCAGCTCCACATCCCCACCTTTCTTCTCACACCTGTGTCAGTGCTACAGATATCCCTGAGCTCTGAATCTTTTATTTTTTGGCCAGGACACCTGATACAGCAGGTTGAATATGTAATACATCTTGAAATAACACCTACTTAATGCAATGCAGAATGCCAGAAAAAAAATCTGTGTTATTAAAACATCTTTCAATTTCAGAGAAATTTTCTCAAAGGTGGGTGTATTTCTCCCCTGTCTGGCTGCAGGAACATTTTGATGTAAGCTTCTGTGATCTGTTTATCACATCATATTCATGCTGAACCGAATATAAATGATATACTCGCACTTTTTTTTTTTCTTTTTTTTTTTTTTTTTCCCAAGTTTTTTGAGTCTGAACAACCTATATGACAAGGAAATCAGCAAAGCCCTGAAGTGCTGAGACTTCTATCACAAGCCAGAGGTAGGTTAGGACTGAATTTCACCAGTGTTATGCTGGCTCTCCACCCCCATCACCAAAGAGGATGAAAAATATTAGAGGTCTGAAGGAAGGAAGGAAGGAAGCAGACACTAGAAAGAACAAAAACAGCCTAGAAGGGAAAAGCACCACCACACCAATTTCTCCTGTCCTTTGCTTGATTCTCAATCAACTGGTAGTTAAGTGGTTCTTCCATCAAGACACTGTGATTAAAGCCAAATATATGGCACTGGCGCTATTCACCCACAAACTACTCACCCTGCTCCTGACTGTTACAGAGACAGTAAGCCAAAAAGACAGTTCCCCCCTTCCATTAAGTTAAAGATGTAAACAACATCTCTGCTGTCAGTGCATTATGATGAAAAATCAAATGCCTTTCTAAGATTTACATGCCCCGTTTATTCTAGACACATAAGGTATGCAATAGAAATAAAATGCACAGAAGAACTCTACTTCTCATTATGCTTTTATTTCAGAATGTCTAACATAATTGTAAAGTCTGTTGAGTTTCTGGAAATATTATCACAAATTTTAAGTGATCCTTGGAAAGAAATTCTGTCACTGTTTGAACAGAAAATACAAAGAGCTGCTGTGTAACATTTCAGAGCTCTAGCATTTATCTGAGCTGTAGCTAGGAAATCGAACCACCCCAAAGTCTCAGCCTCCCTAAATACAACAGAGAGAGCTCCACAATGCATGAGTTTGTTTTTGAGGTGCCCACAGGCACACCTGGTAAGGCAGCCAGCTACAGTAACAGTATCCACCAATATGTGCTAGATTAATTTTAAAGAATTTTGGGGGATATTTTAACTGGCTTCATATATTGAGGGATTTTTTTGTTTGTGTGTGTGTCCAATGGTGTTTTGTAGATTGTCTGATTTTTTTTTTTTTTTTCTGGAGATCTTAATCTGCAGATATTAATCTAATAAATTGATCTGTTAATTAATACCTTTTATACCAAACACTGAAAACTGTAATACAAAATCCAAGGGCAAGATTCAAGGTGGTGAGAACTGACTCATATCATTCTGACCAAGACAACCTTCAACATCTAAACTGTGGATGACCTGGACTTCACTTCAAGTCTCTCTGCTTGCGTAGACAGTAGGAGGAGAATAAGATTTGCCTGCTTTTGAGGCTCCTGATTTAGACATAGCTATCAAAATTCTTAAATATGTTCACTGATTCTATTTTAAAAACATTTACAGAAGGTATGATAATCCATCGCTTGAAAAGAAATTAAATTTATCATGGAATTTTGTTTATAAGTACAGTCACTGATTGCACAGGATTGAAATCACTGTGATTAGGGATTTAAACATGCATTTATTTACTTTGGGTGTTACAGTTGCAATAACTTAACATACAATGTTACAGAAAAAGCAAGTAGCATAGACATATTGATACAAATATAGATGTGGGTATATATATAGGTAATGAAAGTAGGTAAAATACATTTTGGAGACAGATCAATATTTTTTGCTGTCTTAAAACAGAATAACAATAGGGTCCTTTAATGCGATTAAGAGGAAATCACCACTTTTTCACTTGGAATGCTGTGACAAAATGTCACAAGCCTAAAAACAATTCATAGAGGGCAGAACATTTACCAAAAATAAAATATTTGTCAGAGATAAAGTGCCAGACTCAGTTGGCCTGAGCTTGGTCCAATTGGGAAATCCCAATATTTCCTGTTGGATATGTAGTTTAAATTCTTCACAGATGTCTTGCCAGCTTATTAAAGAAAGGAAATGGGAGGTGAGATTTACAGAGTGGAGACTATGCACAGGTATATAGGAACTAAAATATCCTACAGCTTACCCACCATAGCAATTTAATTTGAAAAATGCAGTTTTTAATCAAATAGAACAGCAGCTAGATTTATAGGTGGTGTGGAATGCTCTTAAGATTTGAAAGACATTCAAAGTTCATTGGGACAACACCCTGCTTTTATTTTTTTTTTTCTCATGGAAAAGTGCAATTGACTTTAAATGAGTTCTTTGGCTGAGAAAATAACTTTTTAAGATTTTATGTACAGCAATAAAGAAGAAATAGCTTTAGGCAGATCATATGGCAAGAACAAACAAACAAACTGTATTGCAATACCAAAAAAAAAAAAAAAAAAGTTTTAAAAGTAGCAGAGAAATGAGATATAGTTCATCAATTAATATCCAGCAGTTATATGAGAACTTCATCAGAAAATTACTTTAAAACAAGGGGTTGAAGGAATCTAAGAATCTCAAGGCAAGAATCAGGTTTCTGGTCTTGTGCATGTGCATGCACATTCTCCATGACAGCTAGCTGTCCCAAATGGTGACGCTCAGTGTGATACACGGGGTGGAGATCCGGTGGCAACTGCTTCTTCCTCTGCCATACTGTCACAACATGAGATCAATTGGAAGAATTCAATATGAGCATTCATTAGAAGAACCCAGAGTTCTTCATTTTGAGTTAAAGCATGGAGAGACCAGGAAAATGTGATGGTGAGAGGTTTTGTTGTAACAAGCTTTGGGTTCCGTCGCTAGTTCAGTCACAGACCTGGTGAAGGAAAGCAACTTTTTGTCTCTTTCTTAATTTCTGCTTGAAAAAACAAACAAACAAACAAACAAAATTTATTTCCTTAGCTGTTTTGCAAAGACGTGAGGAAGATTTCATTCTGAGGCAGATTAACAAATCTTCTAAAGTTTTTAGAGGGCAAAATTATATTTGAAAATGTTGTTTACTTTCATGTCTTTTGGTGTTTACAGGTAGAATTTCAGAGGCAGAGACATCTAAATTAGTCTAAATTAGGTAGCAAAGGACCAGAAAGAATGAAAGAAAGGATAAGTGTTTTTGTAGATTGGCGTAGGAAATATAAGAACTAGGTTGCATATTGGGGAAAAAGAAAAAAAAAAGAAAAAAAAAAAGAAAAGAAAAAGAAAAAAATATATCTAACAAGCATATAAATTAAAGTACTCCCTTTAGAAACATTCATAAATGACAGCAACAAAAACCTTTAATAACTGTAAATCTTGCATGATTCATCTGGAAAATTTCTGTTCAATATTTCTGCCTCCCTTTATGCCCTTGAGTAATAGAACATTTTTAATTTTTATGTTTTAATTGAAAAGGCTTCTTTGAAACTATTTTTTTTCTTTTTTTTTTAGGTTTTTGCTTCATTTCATTCCATTCCATTTTCCTCCTTCGTGAATATATTCTGGCTTTGCTTCTGTTCCTTCCAAACTGTTGTCCTGGTTCCATATGATAAGGCTGGTATCAACCCAACAGTGTCTTCAAGAGCCTCCCAGGAGATTGTCAAAGCAGAGCTACACTGTGCAGATGATGGGGTTTCCTGACTCCTCATAGAGTTGAAAGGATTGCCATTTATCCTTTCACCCTTTGATAGTCACTTCCTCATTTTCTTTGCTAATGCATTAAAACTGAAGGAATTATCAGGAACTGTGCAGTAAAGGGCTGTATGATAATTTATTTTTATATAAATGCACACACATACACTGCCTCCTTTGTTTTTAATGCCAGACTGATCCTATAAGCTCAAAGCATATCTGAAGTGCTTTCCAAAGTCTACAAGCTGTCTTCTTTCTGAACAGCATGTTTCATATAATTAAGACACAAATGGTTTTGCTCCAAAGTTATTATGACTACTATGTACATCGTATCTGAATAAAACCCACAAAAGCAAAAACTGCAGAGTTCCCAGGCATAGACATATATGTGTTAACTGTTGACAGTCACCTTATTATTCACAGAGCTGCTGGTCTGTGGGGCATACCTGGTAGTCCACATACCTTGAACAAGCTTTCTGCACTTGCTTTCCTGTTCCTTATTCCTTTCAAGCTCGAACGCAAGAGAAAAAATAGCACAGGGAGCTGTGAGAAAGCTTTTACTGGATCTGATTAAACTCATAGGTGTGAAATATCAAATAGATCTGATCCATTTGATCACATAGGACTTTTTTTTTTTTTTCAGATTTATGTGTTTTGATAGGTGGACAAGAATGGTACAGGGTATAATTTGTACAGGGCATAATTTGTATAGACTTTGGAAGTGGAGGGAAAATGCCAGAGAGCAGAGAGAAACACAGACAAGTATCTTGTTGAAGCTGAGAGAACAAATAAATCAGCATGAGGAAGTGTCTTTGGACTAGCCACCAAGCGTGGTGTTGCAGCAGCCTGGTGTGTTACCATCTGGGAGAGTTCAAACAGGCTGTAAATCCCAGGCCCTCCAGGCTGTGGGAAGCTGGCTTGGAGAATGACTTGTTTTGTTTCTTGGGAGGTAGAGCAGGGGCTGGCTAGCTGATGCTGTAAGCATTCCCTGCTGGCCGATCAACATCAGACAGAAGAGTTTTCTTAACCTCTAGCCAAAGATAAGGCCAAAATGACAAAACTGTTCAGAAGAGAGAGAAAGAGTTTGCTGAAATAAATGAGAGAACTGACAGAAGAATTTCGTGCTAGCTACAGAGGACAACACCTACAGGCAAAGGAACAAAGATTTTTAACTTGATTGATGCTGGGCTATGTTGGACAGTGTAAGTCCTAAGGACAGCATTTTTAAAGGAACCTAGATTTTTGTGCCAAAGTGAAAAGGGCACACTGTGCAGCTCCATGTAGGTTTCACAGCGCCTAAAAAAATCTAGCATCTAGCCCAGCAGGGCAAATCTGTGAAGGGGCTGGGCACAAAGACAAACAATGTGGATCCTTGGGCAGTATGAAGAATAATTCATACTAATTGTGTCTAAGGATGGAATAGGCAATGTAGATCCATGCAAATGCATTCAGCTGGTGACTGCCCCGGGGTAGCCATTAGCAGCCTTAGCCACCACGAACCAAGACAGTCCATGCACAGCTTCCTTTTGAAGTCTGGCCACTGCCAATTCAGGAATGCCAGAGCCATCAAACCAGGAAGAGTGCAAGAAAACGCACACAAGTTAGGCTTGATATGATGCCAATATTCATTGCAAGGTCTTCTTTTAGCTCTGTATCTCATTCAGAGTGTATTTGCTAAATTCATTTAATCTGTGCTCTCTGTATCTTTTAAGTCATGTTAAATTCTTCATGCTTCCACCAGAAATCAAAATCTGGATTCTGAAGTCATTTTAATTCTGATACTGTGACTTAAAGCTCTTTTTTTTTTTTTTCTCTTTCTTTCTTTTTTTTTTTTTTTTCCTCTGGCAGCTTCAGATTTTCACTAGACTAGGAAAATTAACCTCATACATAGATTAAAGTATCTGGAAAGCTGTTATCTAGTTTTTCCCTTGATTCTCAGATCTCATAGGAAAGCAGCGATCATCTGTTCAGGATGAATTACTTGTCTCTGCAGGAGAGCAACTCAAGCAGCACTGTGTGAAATGGAGTCCTTTTCAATCCATCAGAGATCCTCACTCAGGTCTATCTTTCATCTGAGTGCGTTCTTCTACCAAGTCATTTCCCATTACGTGACCTGCTTATTAGGAGGTGTTGTGGCAGAGCAGAGATGTCAGAAGAAATTCGGAGAGGCAGGGATGCAGCAGGCTGAGTGTGACAGCCAGCATCACTCCACGGGAAGGTGGACATCAGTCACCGTGCAGCTGGAAGAGCTGTACAGCACCAGAAGATGACCAGCAATAACACATAACAAATAAGGGGGAGGCTGTGAGCAGATAGAGAGCTTTCCATGAATCTTTCTGACTTGCATCCACTTCTGCCGTGTGCTTGTCTTGCACTGATAGCACCTCATTGGGAGAGGGGACTTAATGTGAAGGACCACACAAGTGAATCCAAATGAAGCAGCAACATTGCGAAGCTGAATGTATGCAATGACCCCACCACAGCCCACCTGGCTGTTTCTGGATTGAAATGTTTTGAATGAGTAGTTTATGCTGCACACAGGGAAGTGTGCAAACAAAATTAGGTTCAAAATAAACATCCCAGCCTCCCCACACTGTTGTTCACAGTATTGTTGTCCACATTGCTGCCCAAGTGCTAAATGCTCGGTACTGCATCTTTGTTACTGGCTTTCTGACAAAGACAGCTTGTGAAAATGAACTGAAAATACTGAGTAGTTGTGACATAGGTAGTTTGAAAGCTTAGGTGCTTTTCTGTAAATGGCATAGTTTGCTGCTAATACAGTAATGGACACTGTCAGCTACAGAACCAGAGCAGACCTGCACTCTTATTCGAAAAAAGAACAGGGAGTGCATAGTCAGTCTCTAGAGCTGATGGTTTTACCAGGTTTCTTGCAGTCCTGCCTGATAGGTTGCATCACATTAGCAATACGATGTCCATCACCATCCATAACAGTTTAGATACTTTTTTGTGCTAGACTACAAGACTGAGATCCTCAGAAATCCTGCTTGATGATTCCTTCCCTTTCCGAGGCAGGAGGAGGATGTCTGTGCACCGCTTCTTGTAGGGCTTATGGAGCCAGAAGTCCCAGGCAGGAGCCCCCCACCCAAAACAGTGTGACGGTACCCACTGGCAAGCAGAGAGTGGAAATCTGCTGTCAAAATCTGCGGTGTCAACAGGGTGTAGGCCCTGCCTGGGGTCTGGTCTCCTGCTGGTGATGATCCTAGGAGCAGAGTGCCGATGTCCATCTGGCTGTGCGCAGAGGGGCAGCAAGCACCCCCACCCGTGAGGACAGGAATCAGTGCTCTGGTTTGCTAATGGGTGCTTCCCGAAACGCCCCGTAGGATCTGCCTTGGTGTAATCAGCTCCAGATTTAGGAACGACTGCTTTTTCATGTTGAAACAAATGCATTCTCTGTACTGGGAACAAGCAGGTTAGGGATAAGGAAATCAGATTAGGAAAACAGGTAGCAGAGCAGAAAGAGCACATTGATCGAATCAGCAAATCCGCAGCGAACTCATGATTACAGCCGGGCTGCCCGCTGCGTGGCTGCCCAGACATCCCACCCGCTCTGGGGATTTGCAGGGTTTGCAAACAAGCGTCAGCTTCATACAGGGATGTGGAAGCAGAAGCTGCCAGATGGGAGCAAGGTGTTCTGATGGGACCATCCTGGCACTGCTGGGACTAATTTGTCCAAGCTTAGGGCCTGCTTTCCAGAATCAGTTTCCCTATGCATTTCTTAGCACTACTAGGGCCAATTCCCTGCATCATTGCCTCTACTGTCTTATCTATGTGATTTCTAAGTCCAGATGAGATGCTGAGTGCACACAGTCAACTCCTTGGCTGAACTGCTGCTGCTTCGCCCTAATCTCTGATGTTAAAGTGATGCAAATTATTCCTTGAGAGTAATTTAACTTCTACTTTCTCATGCAGTAATCACTACTATGTTCTGATAGAAAAAACAAACAAACAAACAAACACACACACAAAAAAAACAAATAAGTAAATATCTTTTACCCTATGATCTGCGTTCATAGTATTTGTTATGGGCATAACAGGAATACACCATAAGTGCAGTAATTTATTATTATGTTTCTAGCAATAGCTGTGCTGCATTTCCTGGGCTACAGGGCTGTAAAAAGCATCACTTCATAAAAGGAGAGCATGGTCAACAGTAATGGCTAGGTTTTCAGACAGAAACATGCTTCTCAAGCTAACAACAAGCCTTTAACTCCAGGCTTTTTTCTGACTGCCAGCTCCAAGGCTTGGCTGATAACAGAGATGGTAAATATTCCACATTTTCATTATTAACTTGCAAGTATTTCTACCCTGCAATTAAGTGTCTCGCATGCATGCTTTTAAAGGAGATAATTGTGAAGTCTTTAATATCTGCTCCGGCATTTTATTTTTTTCAGTTTTGTTTTCCATATTGTTTTGAATTATTTGGGAACTCATACTTGCAGAGTTTTGGTTTTCTTTATAACCCCAGGAATATTTGTAATTTAGCTTCGTTCTGGAAGGAAACTGTTTACATAGGCTGATTGGCAATAAGCACTTCACTGCCCCTACTCTTGTGACATCTCTCCATCAGTTTTGCCCGCTGACACCTTCCTGCCAACACAGATCCAGATCTGCCAGGATGCTGCACTGTGCCTCCTGCTTCCTTTGATTATTATTTCTCTTACAACATGATTTTCTTGTTTTCTGCATCATTTCCACTGTATCTTCCTGCCAGTCTTCCTTATGCTACCTTACTGCTTTAAGGGTTTGCCACTTTCAGGTTTCAGTGGGCTTGATTATAGCATGAAAAACTTCCCCCCCTCTCAGACTGTCCTGGTGCTTGCTGCCAAAAGGGATTTTAAGGCAAAAAGCTGGCAACCTGTGGCAGGTGATGGAGAGGTGGCCATCCATTCCAACTGGATTGGGAGCAAACTCCATAGCAAAAGTGTTTCCATAAATGCTTTAGTTTAAGTGTTGGGTTTATAGCCAGCTCATAAATTTCTAATTATAAATAGAAACTGATTTTTTTCCCTCCAGTCTAAATGGCACCTGAATGAATTTTAAATTATACAACCCCATCAAATTACAAAGCTAATTAAAGTGAGGCATTGAGGTTTTAAGCATGCTACTTTTTTTTTTTTTTTTTTTTTTTTTTCAGTGTTGTTAATGACAGTACATTAACTGGCTTCTAAGATGACACAAGAGCATTTTCCATATTTATTTTATGTCACTTTGCTAGCTCATGAAATGCTGCTGTGGTAGTCTCCTTTGGATGAGTGTCTTCTGCACTTATCAAAACAACATTCACACAAATTGCAGTAATTCTGTCAAAATACTGAATTAATAGCTTGCATAAACTATCTTTTCTGTACTGCAAATGCACATAGGCACTAAGTTTTTATTCTGATTTGAACAGCATATTTCATGGAAGAATGAGGCTGTGCAGGTTATCAGAAAATTGCTGTGTGACCTGATGTAAATGCAGTAGGGATGTTGTCTCTGATGTTCTCTCTGACCAGCTGATCTCCCTTTTCCCTTCATTTCTGGTTATGTTTTGACTTGGATACATAACTTTTGGTGAGTAGGTGAGTGAAACTATGGCAATGATTTTGTTACCCCCTGCTTCCCATCTAGGTAAGCCTTGATCCTCCAGTTCGCTCTTGTGAAGATGGGTCCCCAAACTCGTCATATTCCTGGGGAAAAAGAGATAAAATCCATACAAGGCTTTATGCAACCAGTAATTTTAATCACATCATAAACACTGGAACACTACAGTTTGCTATCTATTTTTCTGAACACTGAGTAATGTAGTTATATGCGATTCAGTAGTAGAGTAACAGAGAACATAAACACCCTATTGGAAACCCTGTGCATCTTACCTTAGCACAAAGATTTTAGAATTTATTTTCTCTGAAGCTGGATAAAATATGGGAGATGAGACATTTCTGTGAGTAGTTGAAAATGTAAGATCATAATCATTGCATGCTGGGCTCACCTTTGGGGGAAGCCAGTACACTTCATACCGAAGCCTGCACAGCATCTACATGGCGTCAAATTTGCAGGCTTAGAGGGGGTAATACAGTGGCATGACTTCTGTTCTGTTCAGCAGAAGTTTGACAGAGTGCAGGCAGAAAGATAAGGCCTGGAAGAGATGATAATTCATTAACCTTGCCCCGCCAGCCGTTCCTGTCGGTAAACAAGACCTTGCTTCTCTTTAAACTTAACGAGGAGGACAGTCTGAGTTTGTTTCTGTCTGTGCATTACATACGACTTTATTGTGCTGATTTCCAGTTGTCCTTGGCAAAGACAAAAAGCTATTCAGGGACCTTTTCTGACCTGGAAGAAATGACTGCAGCTAAGTGGAGAAAGTACCTTATTTCCTACCTGCTCAACTGCAAAAGGGATCAAACACCACTAACACTTTTAAAACAGAAATTGCCATAAAGGCCAATAGAGCAAAACAAAACAAAATGCACAAAAACTTCCCCCAGCCTTGCTTTGTTGCACTGAAGCCAGAGTGGAAGACAGTACAAAATACAAGTCTCGTATTTTCTTCCCTTACAAAATTTTAAGCACATAAAATGTTTATATTTAACAGAATTCAGGAAGTGTTTGCACTTCGGACCTGTCAGCCATTGCAAACAAACTAAGAGCAATGCCCTAGGAGTGCAGTTTTACTGCTTTTTCCCTTTCCCTATCCACTTTCCCACAAACACAGTTTCTCACCAACTTCACCCACCTTGTTTGCTCCTGAAAACATGTCAGCACTATAGCCTGTAATGTAATCCTTGGAAAATATCAAATATCCGAAAACTGAAAGCTCTGCACAGCCCAAGTCTCAAAAATCATCCAATTACTTAGGAAACGCCAAGTATTTCAAATCGCAGATCAAACCCTCTTCAAAAAGTTGGCACACAACCAAAACCACTGCAAACATAAGAACAGAGAACGTGTCTTATTCAGGAATGACAAAACTGCAGCAGCACTTAGCAGGAATAATGGCTCAATTAATCATCGGGGTAAGGCGGCTGGCTCATGGAACAGGCAGCTGAAAACTGTTTACAAGAATATAATGCCCCCAACAATCAGCTAGTCATCAACAAAGGGCACCAGCCACATGTTGCAGCAGTCAGTCACAAATTTCTAACCCAATGATGAAACAAGAAATATGTCTTTAAGACTACTTTCCTTTATTTGGAGGGAACAACTGTTGATGGAAAGACTTCGTGGTCATCAGGACAGCACCTGTGTGAAATAAAATAAAGTAAGAAAAATGAAAGAAAAAAAAAAAAGTTAAATAATCTGTACAAAATACATCTCTTCCTTCAGTTAATGTGATCTCCATGCACTCACTGGGCCTTTCTGAAACCCACTCAATCATGTGTCTTTTTTGCTCAGAATAGAGTTGGTCTCAGCATTATGTTTCAACAGTGAATCTGGTATCTGTTTGAAAGGCCTAATGTTTTCCTTCAAATTGTTATTCCTTGGGTATTCTCACCTTGCTTTTTCTTGCTCTTTGTGCTCTGGTCCTGCTGGCAATCTCCCATCTGGCCTTCTCCTCCTCCCACTTCTTTCTCTATTTAGTAAAGGTTTCTCACCACTGAGTCCAAGAAAAATCTATGTAAAGCAGGTTAACAGTGGTGAAGTCCTCAGAGAACCTGAGAAAAAAAAATATTACTTTATCTCAAGTTAAAGAAAGTTGTACCAGTCGGAATTTCCTTGCTTTATGAGCACTGTTCTGGTCATGGTGCAAAGGTTTATTAAGAAAAAAAAAATCTTCCAGCATCATCCAAAGGTCATCCAGGCTGAGTTAATTTAATAATCACCTTTGGGAAATTTAATCTATTAACAGATTATTTTACTGAAAAGCCTTCATCCTTGTCTCTCCGAGGTTTCTTTTTGAGTTCTCTGCATGATAATTCTACAAAAGAAAACTAGAGTAAAAAATATGCCGTACGTGTCGACAGATCATGCATTATACATGGCAAAAAATAACATTAAATTATGTTATCTTTCCTTAACTGAAGGAGTGTTATTCTATCATGGGGCAAGAGACTGCTTAATTCCAAATTAAGAGAACCTTTTTAGTGCAAATGTGTTTTCCATCTACAGCTGGTCTTTATCAATCTAACTGAAGCCAAACCGCATAACCCTGTACAGACCTGCAAATTTGGTTTGAATAATTAACTGCAGCAGAGGATGACCCTGTGTTACAGTGACTGCAGTCACGAAGTGAAAAAGTTCATAATAATAATTCATAAACAGTTTAGGGAGATTTGATTTCCTGCCAGGGCTGCGCATGGAGAGGAGACGAGGCTCTGAGTTCCCTGTGCCAGCCTCACAACCGTGGAAATTGGGTCAGGACAGCACTCAGAAGAGCACTCTGAGACAGGACCTGCTATTCTTGAAACTGTGTCTCTCATGCATATTGCAGGTAAACAATCTCTGACTTCACTAGAAATGACAATGCTGAGAGGGCTGATGAAGGCAGGTGGCACAGCTCTCTCCAAGCAGGCTCTGTGCCTCCTCTGATCTGCCTTCTGTCTTAAGGAAGGAACACAAACAGGAAGGTTCAGGTGGAAACTGTGTGTAAGCTTACACTTTCTCCATTTCACTTTCATAATTAAGTCATTAGAGAGTCTGTCCTTCTCTTAGGACACTCTTAGGACTTCAATAATGTTGTATTAAAATTAAAATTACTATCACTGAAACTAAGAATAATTTTCCAGTGTTGGACAAATCCAGTGATTTATGTAGAGGAGTATACCATTACAGTCAGAGGAAAAATAATAATGAATTAGAAATAACTTTCTTGCTTTTTATGTCTTTAAAAATCTTTCCACACATATATACAAGTACACAAATTGAACTAACTATGCTTTATTCGCCTACTATATTGTTTCTACGTAACAAACGTACTCTACACTGTTGTGAAAGACATCACCTATACACACTAAAACCCTGTGCAATAAGTTATTTAGACCTAGATAAAGTCAGTTCCCTGGGGAGAACTGAAGACAAAAAAGCATGAATATTTTTCAAAAATTCAGTTGGATAGACAGGAGTAATATTTGATATGAAAATGCATCACTATTCTTTCCTTACTAAATTTGCCATGAAAAAAATAAGGGAAGAGGAACATTGCATGCAGGTGTTCAATATAAAGTTTATATGAATGTGTTTCCATCTGGGAGTTCTCTTAATTATTAGCTTTCACTGCATCTTTGATAATTTTCTTTTCATTTGTTGTTTGCTTTGTGTAACAGGTCACCAAAATTATCTGTTTCCATAGCTACCTACTACCTATTTCCACTGCTTCATCTTTCCAGTATAAAACTTGAAGTTGTGAGCGATAATCCATACTTAAAAAGGGATGGCCTTTCATGATAACCCAATTAACCTTTTGCAATTAGGGATGAAATTGCCTTGATTTTGATGATGTTGCCAAAACACAGAAACTGACTCTGATGTTGAACTTTCAACTCCAGAGCGACAAAGTTCCCAGAAAATATAGCTATTTGTCCTGAATTTCTTTCTCAAGTGATTTTAAAATGATATCTCACTAAACTATGAAAAAAAACTGCCAGAATATTTTATTCATGAGTTGAAAAAGGGTTTCATTCAGTAACCCTTGGCTTGAATGCTTTTTAAGCTGGCTGCTATAATTTGACCTCATGCGTGAGATCACTTTATTGACTTAGAGATTCTGCTGTGACAGAAAATGGCACAGGTAACACTGGGGAAATGAGGATAAATGGAGAAAATACTGTGAGTTGTTAAAAGGAACTGAAGTAGGTAAAATAAGAGGATGGGAAGGAGAGTTGAAGGGAAGAGAGGAAATAATGTAAGTAAAATGTTACAGCCATAAACAGAGCACAGCTAGAACTGTTAAAATAAATAGCAGTATTCATTCATGTTGGCAGTGAAACCCAGCCAAACTAAACAGCTCTAAGACCTTTAATCTTGATTGCTGTGGCACCACCTTGTTCTCTTCTCCAGCCTACAACTGCAAGGCATCAAGTCTTCCTGGAAATTCACAGCTGCATTACGTCTGTCCAGCCTTCATCTTTCTCTGGACAAACACTTCTTTCAAAATTCAAAACACATCAAAGTCATCACTCAGGGCCCTGAGAGCCTTCTTTGTTTTGCTGTGCTTATTTGCACGTGTTTGGCTGTGTGAAGGGTGCTGGATTTCAATCACTGAAGACACTTTGTGAAACACAGTGGCACAATCTATTCCATTGTAATATCCTACAAGATATAGAAGGGACCAAGTAAACACAGTTGGTTATTCTCTCTTTCTCTTTTCTTTTTTCTTTCCCTCCTATGACATCATGACCAATGATATCCCATTGCTTCTATCTCTTGCATCACAAGGTTCCCACATCCTTCAGGTCACTTGCAGTATTACATTCTAATTTCTCAAAATTGTTCATTAAAGTCTCTTGTGGCTGATATGCACTGGTAGAGAAATCAGTACATGATATTTTTTTCCATGTTTTCCTCTTCTGAGGTGCTAAGAATAACCTACGCAGTGAGCTGGAAATGAGGTCAAGGAGTACATGTTAGAATATTTCTATTAGTTATAACGCTATCAATGTTAACTCCTAAATTCGTGTAGGCTCTATCCAGGCAACATACTGCTTAGTATTATGTTCACATCTCTGATATGTCTGCATTGTTTTTTAAAGTATTTCTATTGCAAATGATTAATGCAATGGAGACTTCTTAGCACCAAACAAAATGCTATAAATTATCTTTGGTATTTCAGAGGTAATTTAAAGGAGATCAGAACAAGCTAGTCAAACGAAGACAGTCATAATTTTAGGAACAAGTTCAATTCACAGCCCAGCCCTGGAACTCAAGAGCACAAATTTAAGTTCCCTGTGTTTTGGCAGCCAAATACCAAAGCACAGTCAAAATGCTGCTTTCCTCTAAAAGGGTATATTTAATTTCTTCCCTTGATTGTATCAAAGGCCCTAGGAATTAAACCTGTTCAATGCAATCTCTTTACCTGTGATAAGGTGTCCATTTAAAATAAGCAAACACCATAGTCTTCTAAACAATAGTAAAAAGCAGTAAAATCCACCAATGTGAAACTACTCGCCCATAAGTTTGTTGCACATCCTTCATATTCTTTACTGACCTAACAGTTTAGTATCCAAACATAGATTCAACATTTATATCTTTGTTTATTTTTTAATATGCATACAGAATGTGAAGCGATGTAGTAACTTCATTTAACAAATCCATTTTTAATCTGTTAATTTCTTCTTTCCTTACATTTTTTCAAGAATGGGAAAATGTTCGCATTAGTGATTTCTAACAGAGATTATTGAGTTAACTGGGAAAGGACAGTTATCAAGGGAGTTAAATTATTACAAGATATTTTTGCAGTGCGTATGGAAAGAAGAATGCACGGCATTCACTGTAGTTTCATTATCATTTACGTACTTGAAAGAAACCACCTCAGCTTCTTCATATATCCCTCTCTAAATAAGTGGGCCTCTTTACTCAAACTAAAATGTTTCACAGACTAGCAAAGGGGCATCTGCAGATGATGTAGACTAACCCAGAAGAAATCTTTGAAGTCTGCTATAGACATGTTAGAACTTTAGAAGCCTTTTCAAATCAGCATGGGAAAAACTTGAAAGTTAAGCAAAGAAACATGAGGAAATAGCCACACTTTACATCCAGTCCCATGACCCCACTGCAGTTGATTGTTGTTTTAGCAGGGACAGATACAGCAGGAGAAAAATCACTTTTCTGCACTCCTGGTGGACCAAAAACATGGTAATAAACCACAAGGGAGATTCAAAATACTTTTGAGGATGTGCTCAAACCTCTTCAGCTATCTTCATGTTTAGAAGAATACTTTATGCATTCTGAAGAGGGAAGAGCTCTGTAGAGCCCAGTTCTTATTTTTTATGTAGGTAAGTGTCTTATGATTTAGGATTTAATACTTATACATGTAATTTTATCACTTCATCATTACTATTGTCTGTGTCAAGCTTCATGGAACAAAGTCACCAATGTGCCATTTCCTGTGAAATATGAGTACAAAATTAAAGCAATTATAGTTGTTTTGATGTAAGGTCATTCCAGTGAACTGCTGGTTCTTGGCTAAAGGGAAGTTTTTAAAGGTTAGCTGTTACTTACTTATGTAGCTCTTTCATTTATTTATTTATTTATTTATTTTAAATGAGAATTATGGTTAGAAAATTTATTTTAGTTTGCATAATTTAAAAAGGAATAATTAAAAGCTGTACAACGATTCTCATAAACAGCTGCCAGATGGGCTAAAAACAGTTGCAAAGGATCATTTCTCAGACATCTGTCCTGCTTAATCTTGACCTTTGGAAGAGGAGAGAACATACTGTAAAAAGAGATTGAAATTGTTATGCTGTGCCAGTTAATTAAGTGAAATAATTGGACACATTTGTAGGCTATAGAGAGAAGGCTTGTGATGAATATATGTTATTGGCAGGCCAATCTTTTATTCAAAGGAACTTCATAAAAAGATTGTTTCATGAATTAGAAGGCTGATATTTGGAAAGCCCTACAAGCCAGGTTCAAGCCACAGAGGTTCAAAATGCATGTAAGAAGCTTTCAATTTTAAAAGTCCACCTTGGCTTTTTATGACTGCTGATTATGCAGTACTAGTCTGAGTAATGTCAAGCATTTCAATGCACATGGAAAAAATACGTGTCTTATGGTTCTGTCCATTACTCCATGGAT